TTTTTGTTTGCAGTTTTCTTGTTTTAAAATTGTTTTAAACAATTGACAATTGTGTTATAGATATTGTGCTTACCAATTTGTGTACCAGCTCGTTAATTATTAGCCTATTCCCGTAACCAGGATTTGCAGGTTTTACAGGAAAAGCTGTTTCCGCCTTTAATACAACTTGTATGAACGTGGCGGACGGAAACCTTCCTGTAAAACTTGCAAATCCTGGAGTACGGGAATAGGCTATATGATAACCCACATGTTCCTTCAAATATCACATCACTTTTGGATTCATTTTACATGGTCGTATAGAAAATGGACGCACTTTAACAATTTAAAGAATCTCGCAGGAATAGCTTGGTGTTTTGTGGACAATAACAAAAATGGATTCAAATATAAGAAAAAGTCGCCTTCCAAACTTTACCAGCGCGGAGGAGACTTTATTAATATCTTTGGCCGAGCAGCACGCCATGATTTTAGAAAATAAAAGGACTGATGCTGTATTCTGCGAGGAGAAAAAAAAGGTGTGGGAGAAAATTGATGTTGCGTTTGAGGCCCAGATGGGTGTTAAAAGAGGGCCGAAGAACTTGCGAGAAAAATACGAAAATTTGAAACGAAAAGCAAGAAAGTCCCTAGCCGAAGAGAGAAGGGAAATGTACAAAACAGGTGGTGGCCAATTCCGAAGCTATACTGACTCCAACACAGACAGGCTAGCAGCTTTAATGGGCCAGTCGGCAACCGGCTTGTCCAACAGTTTTGATAGTGATGGTAAGATTTTTTGTACATATCTTTACACGTGATAGTTATTGATGTTTAATAATATTAATGGTATTTCAGTCATTACATATGAAATAGAGACGATAGCAGAAAATGACGCCGTTCCCGAAATTTTGGAGGACTCCATGAGAAGCTACACAGCGGAGCCAGTTGAAGCAACTGAGGCCGTAGAAAATGTAGTATATTCTAAATATTATTTATTCTATATTATTTTTCTAAATTAATGTAAAATTTTTAGGACATTACAACCGATTGGAGCGCATGGAACCCAACACTGCTTAAAAAGAAGAAATCAGAAAAACTAGCGGTGAAAAATGAAAAGGGAAAGCAAAAGTTTGACCATCAACAAGCTTTCTGGGAAGATGAGAACAAGAGAGCAGCCGAAAGACATCAGTGGGCCAAAAAAAAACACGAATTAGAGATTTCGGAAGCAGAGATGAAGTTAGAACTTTTACAAATTGATATGAAATTAAAAAACAGGCAAAGTGAAAGTCAGTGTACATAGACAACAGAGTATATATAAATTAGAAAGGTGAAAGAGTTCCTTATCAACACCTGAAGTTGCTTTATTCGTACATATATATTTATTTTTATCAATGAGCTCGATGTATTCCAAACGGTTATGTTACGTTTTCCTCCAAAATTTCGGGAACGTTATCATTTTCTGCTATCGGCTCTATTTAATATGGAAAGACTGAAATACCATTAATATTTAGTTTTTTGAAAATTATTATTTAATTTTATTTATATAAAACTCATTTGGAAGGTATTTTCAGTGTCAAGAGTATGCATACGCAGATGTTTCGATGATTTTTATTTATTTACACTATTATTGCGCATTGTTGGTGCTGGCTGTATATTCCAAATGGGTTCAATGGAAAAACAGTGCCGATTTTTTTATGAAGAGTGATGCACTCGAATATACTTACATATATGTACATATTTATGTATATTACAAATACATATGTATATCTATGTAGATAACATATAGTCTAGTAATAGGAAATAAAATAAATAAATTGTCTACAAAACAGAATTTTGTTTATATTATGAAATTGCTTTTGAAGGTATGGATCTTACAAAATTTATGTTAGCCCATTAATATATACATACAGTTGTCCACAAAATAATAGCAGCACGATATCTTGACCACTTTTGACTATTTGTCTTTTGTTTATTTAATGCTTAATATTTTTTTTGTAAAAGTCTTGCTGGTTATACAACAAACACCATATGTTTACGCTAGCCCCCTTCACCTTAAGTATGTTTATGAAGTAGAGAATTTCACTTGTAGATGTCGCTGTGATCTAAGCGGGAACAGCTACTCGTTACTCGAGTTCCTTTTTTCTCGAGTCCTGTTACCCGCCTCGGATGTTAGGTTTCGCCTTCTGCGATCGCCCAACACTCTGCCACTTTGGAAGAGAACTCCGAGCAATCCACAAGTAAGGTCCTCTACTATTAATCATTTTATATACCATTTTATTACAGCATTTTTTATATACACATATATACATATAATAAAGTGGCCGTTAGGCGCTTATATATATATA